GTATTACTAAAAAGGCAGAACCGAACTATTCAAAGCGTTAACATAAAATCCGTATTTTAGTAGAAACCACGTTTGTCACGTTGCAAACATAAATTGCCGATTGTTTTCAATTCTGCAGATGCACGAGTGAAAATGTATAGCAAATGAGCCAGAAAGTAAAAATTGCTAGAATGCGCAAGGTAGCAATTTGCTCAGTTTACCGTTTGATGCCGTGGGCACCGAGACTCACCGTTCGTTCAGGATGGCTTTAAGTTTTGTGCTACTTGCTGTCAGCATAGTTTTGACGTTTTCCAATGATATAGGAGCACAATTGTGCGACAAAGAAGAACGGGAACCGATCGCTAGGTCAGTCGAGGTGAATAGTTCTAAAATTGTCTCAGTCGAGTATATGTGCGTGTTTCGGAAAACGATGAATGTTCGGGTGCACTTCAAGAGCAATAATTGTACTGTAAGTAGTAAGATGATACGTTGGATGATAAAGATTTTTTTCAAAATAATTCCTTTTAGTATTTTAGTCTGAAAATATAGAATGGAAACTTAACTTAATTGATACCTAAACTAAAGTTGATATGGATCAGCATGAGAGCATGAGAGGTGCAATATTAAGCAAGAATACCAAAAAATTACATGTCGAATTCCATTTTAAAAACAACTCTTAATATTTGCATACCAAACAAAGACCTAATCTGAAGTATTTTGTTATTGATTTGATAAAATAGAAACAATATTGCGGAAGCTAATTTCTGCTCTCATTTCTTGATATTTTACCTCCATATCATTTAATCATAATTTTGAATAATTCTACCCGGGATATTCATTGAATGGCCAAACTAGAATTCAATACTCAATTTTGTGCGTTAAACTAGGAATATTGTTTCTATTGTTATACTACATAAAAGTGACTGAAGTTCCATAAAACATGTTACGCAATTCCTCAGACAAAAGATGAAAATAACTCAACCTCAAACCATGTTTAGCGTGAATCAACCTTTTTTGGCTTACAATGTTTTAATGAATGCACTTTTAAAGATGTTATAAGTTTAAATTGATTGGAGAACGTTTTAGTTGAATAATTGTTTACCTTATTGCGTTGTTTTTTCCTTTTGATTCTGCTACTGTTGTATCACTTTCACTTTCACGAATTCACTATTCACTTTCAATATTTACTTTCACTGTCGTATCGCTTGTGTGGATGGCTATCGGTCACAGACGGCAAGACGTATGAAAATCGTCTCTAATACCTATGTTACGCGAGTAACAAAGGTAATAAGTGGTAATCTCCAACACCAAACGTCAGATCGGTATGATTTTTTTCTACAGGTAGATATGGATGAGGTCTTTCCACTGCTGCAAATTTCAAGTTGATGGGATGTACCGTTGATTAAAAAAAAATCGTTAGCTAAAATCATTATAACCTGTAAATCTCCGAAACCAGAAGTCAGATCGGTATGATTTTTTTTTTCTACAGGTAGATATGGATGGGGTCTTTCTAATGTTAAAAAAATCATGTTGATGAAGTGTACCGTTGATTTAAAAAAAATTATTCTGCCCTATATATCTCCGGAACCGGAAGTCAGATCGAGGAAAATTTCAATAGCGATCAATGGCGCAACGGGGCCTTTCAAACGAGATATCAACCATATTGATCGGATAAGCCATCTAGAAATGAATGCTTGCCTAGATGAAACGCATTCACAGACGCATATACAGACATCAGCATCTTGCCGGGTGGATCTTTCATGTTCAATTTGATTCTACGATGTCGAGCCAAATCGAGCCAAATTATATTGATTGGGAATGTTTTATACAGGTGAGATAGCTTGTGTGGATGGCTATCAGTCACAGACGGCAAGACGTGTGAAAATCGATTCTAATACCTATGTTACGGTAGTAACAAAGCGCATAACATATGTGGAACTCGATCATATAAAATCGACCCCATTTCAGTGATTTCAAGTGGTGTAGAAGGACATTGATCCGTCAAATTGATTATACCAGCTGTAAAATGAGAAAGGGGTAGTTAATTATTTTAAAATAATTCTAACGTGGTTTATAATTCTATAAGCTCTTAGCACTCCTGAACTCATGTCTTACTACTTCACACAGCAAAAACTGTGGTAAACTTAGAAGGAAAATGTATGTAACATTTGGACATTTGGACATTTTAATTTTTTTTTTGGAACCAACTGCATCAAACTTTGATGTTATTAGGTTTCGTAGGAGGAAAAATACAACCACGTCAATTTGAAGTTAAGTGCATACATTTTGAAGTCCATAGAGAAGCAGTAAGCACAATTATAACACATTTTTTTTCGACCACCATGGCTAAGGTCCCAGGGTGGGACACCCAGCTAAGCTGTGTCGGAAAAAATGCCTTCTTTTAATGGAAACGTTAATATGCATCATCAGGATATTTCGTGATGTAATCATAAGTTAACTCACTAAAAGCACAGTTAACAATATTTCAATATACCACAGACAAAATGATAGTTTTACACCTATTCAACGTAATTATTAAATCTTCGAATTGTTTGAATTAAATTAAATTCAATTAACATAATTTCCGTAATGAATCCAATGCAATTCAATTATATCGAAGAGACGAAGAAATATTGCATATGTAAATAGGCAATATTACTGGATAACAACGCTCTTGCTTGGCTTCTGACCGACTTGAAACTACTAGTTAAAAATCCTTTGAATCCTGTCAAGCATTTAAACAGCGGAGGAACAAAAGAGATGACACATTTTCTGGGCCTCACCTGTTTACATCTCAATGCGCATTACCTTGACTCCTGACAATTCCCCTTTTCGGTCACGCTGTAATGCTTTACGCCTATGGTGAAATACCATAAGCAAACAGCAGTCTGTCTGTGAAACTTGGTGAACATTTCCTTACCCTTTCACTTCTATGAAAATCCCATATGATTCTGTCAACCTTTGTTTGAAAAGACGACGGCTTCCTGGTACCAGGGCGGAATGAAGAGATAGTTCGCTAGATTTCATGCACAAATTTTCAGATGCTTATGGGATTTTACCATGAGTAAAGAATTTCAGAGTCGCCGTCAACGTCAATGCTTACTGAGCATACAACCATATACCTGCTTTTCTTTCGTAAGGGCCAATTCTGCAAACGTAAACAATTACTTTTTGCGTGAATTTCTCGAAAATGAAAACTCACTCAAGTAAACCACCACGATGATTGTGTAGAGAAAGAGTGCTCTTATCCGGTAAAATTGGTGCTACATGGGTTTACTTTGACCTACGAGAAATTTACGAAAGAACCCATTTATGTTTTTAACATTGGTCCTTATGAACGCTCAGTGTCGATATCACGAAAATTTTATTTTGACAAATCGATGTCCAACTATGCCAGGTTGGACAACTTTGAGTCAGCTATTTTGCATTAAGTTCCACATATGTTAGGTGAACAAAGGTAATAGTGAAAGGGAATAGTGAATTAGTGAAAGGGAAAGTGTTACAATAGTAGTAGAATTAAAAATAAACATGATAACGTTTATAAGGTATATGTTACTAGTGAAAAGTGACTCATGTATGAGCTGAGCGTTTTAAGTTATCAGGGCCCCCTGTATATCAGCAGTGGTTTTTCTGTTTTGAAATACGCAAAATAACTTAGTGTTGCTTATTCATCCCTTGGCGTTAGACTCAATGTGGATTTTATTCAGTTCATATTCCTGATTTGGACCGACAACATGAAGATCATTAATTGGATCCAGTTAGGAATAGTTTACTCGCCTTTCATGGCAACAGTGATGGGTTCGATTTGTTCCAAGCAAGCAATGTGAGTATCTGTTTTGATGGAAAGATGATCTCTACTGAATCAAAGCTTTTAATTTCAGTGAAAGAAATTGGAGAGATTGGTCCGCAGAATGGCCGTGTAGGAATGGAGTCTGTACGATAACAAATCAATGCAAGTGTTTGAATGGTCGATTCACTTGCAACCCAGTTTGTGACACCCGTTTCATTCTTGTGCAAAATGGAGAATGTACTGAGCCAAACATTTTAAAATGCAACCCGGGTTTCAAGCTAGCAGAAACATACGACTCAAAACTAACCTGCGTTGCCCCGGAGCTATGTCAATGTAAAACGGCTAAATTTCTGGTAGATAATTGGATCTCAATTGCCATCGTGATCGGGGCAATCACCACCATTGTGGTCATAACTGCAGTTTTGTATCGGCTATTCAAGAAAGGCGTTGCAGATTCATTTGAGTGCAAATGTAATAACATTTTTAAAATCCAATCATGTTCCAGATGATTGCATTAATCTTTTCGAATTCCAGATATCCCCTCAGAGGAACAAAACTCATTCGACGATAACATCCACTACTCAAAGGATCCAACTAGTGGTAAGCACAACGACCTCGGCAAGATACGTTTTTCACGAGTCATCTTACAAAACGTATTTGACCGTGCTGAGGAAAATGCAGAGACAAGCGCTATCTATGATACCATTAGGCCATCCGAGTTAGGCTGCGAGGAAGTATTGTATGAAAACTGTCGAAGCGTAATCTATGACTAAAACAATCTTATAATTTGGAAAATATACATGAGTCATACATTTAAAAACAATGTTGTCTACTGCTGCTAAAAGCTAAGTTTATGAAACACACAACCGCACCCGAAGACCGTCGGCTAAAGTTGATAAGCGAAGTAAGACTTGTGACAGTCCTAGACGACCGAACGACTCTGTTTAAGTTCTCTTATTCTTCTTCTGTTCGTATTACGTCACTAATTTTGCATTCCTTCGCTCCTCTCCGAAAATGAGCTCATTATCACACTTGCATAGAGTTTGTTTCGATTTGATCCATTCAGAACAAGCAGCACGTGCACACATAAAACTTAACCCCCATGAAGGCAGAAAGCATGGAATGTGATAAAAGAGTGATTTAGATTTTCTGTAGTTGCGGTGCCTGCATTTCATTGATGCACCATTTCCAGTTCTCAGACTCCCAATAGTGCATATCGGAGCGTTCGACGATGATACTCGTTTGGGTTTGGCTGGTCATCTTTGAGCCTGTGGCTTCGCAGTTCTGTGAAACAAAACACTTGTAAATATAGGAAATTGGACAACTTTGATTCGATCGTGTGTAATTGTGATGCATTTCTCATTCAGAAAACCTTACACCAAGTCGGTGTCCGTGACGGGCACAAAGTATGTTACAGCGGAGTACAATTGCTTCGGTCGGAAGCAGATGCAAGTTCGAGTGGATTACTTGACCAATGATTGTTTTGTAAGTGTGCATATTTTCTGATTAATAACCGGTGGGGCTTACTTTTCCCGAAAAAATAATAGTAATAAGACGAGCAGGAACCGCTACCCAAGCAGGAGAAAATAATGTTTTAATTTTAAATTCAGGTATGAAAATAGCATAACTGGCAACCTAAATATGGTTTTAACGAGTCTGATATAACCCGAGCAGGAGAAAATAACTTATCAATACCTAATTCTGACCTGATACCAAAATTTAGTGTTGATTAGCCTGACATAAGAGGGAACATACCAATGAATAATGCCAAAAAATTGCATGCAAAATACTTCGTACAAACTAAACGTTGATATTTAGATATCAAAAGAATACCTGTGTGGTCTTCTTCATCTTCTCTTATTCGCATATCAACATATGAGCTTTTTGCGTGCTCTCATCTTAGTGTTCTAAATGCACTTCCACAGCTTTCGATGCCTGTACTATTTTTTGCATTGATATAATTGTGTGGCAAGTACAATCATACCCATTATACTATGCTCAGGGAAGTTGAGAAATTTTCCAACCTGAAAAATTCCTGAACCGGGCCGGAAATCGAACCCAGCCGGTTACTTTGTCGCTGTGCCTTTACCGACTGAGCTAAGGGAGGCTCCACCTGTGTGGTATTGCATATGCATAATTTGGTATTTGAATGGTATTGTGAGAACATTGTTTTGGTATTAATTTTAGGTATGTTACCTCTTATGTCAGGCTCATCCATACCATTTTGAAATATGGATATATTTGTTCCTGCTCTTGAAGCAATAAATTATTAAAAATAATATATAAAAATGATCTAATTATTATACTTTAGTGTCTACAATAATTTAGTTATTATAATAACTGGCGGATAATAAACGTTTTTTTACAATCCAATGACTCTTTTAAAATGGCTTTATTATTTTGGAATTTATTTTATATATTACAAAATATTTCGATAACTGAATAATGTAAAAAAAATATACCACAAGCATACCAAAATACGGTACCATACTGAAAAATGATATACATATAAAGAGAGAGAGAGAGAGAAAGCTTAGTCATTTCCATTTAATTCCACTACCTTATTTGCTTATCCTTGACAGATACGCGTATTTCGTCTACAATGTGCAGACTTCTTCAGTATTTTGTACTAATACTCTCTCTCTCTTTATACAGGTATTCCACAAAAACGCCCTCATTCATCATTTTGTCGCGTCCAAAAGCTACTTTCTTTTCCGGTTAGGGAGAGTCTTTCGCTTACTAGGTCAGACACTGTTTTTTGATTCTAGCAGCTACTTTTTTCTCCGGTTAAGGAGAGAAGTTTTCACTTCTGGGCCACAAGTTCTATCGTATTTAAAAAAGATACGAATCTGGAGTAACCTACGAACTTAATTTTATTCCAAAATTTTGTACGAAGTGATCTTACGTCTACGTGTTGCATTGCTTCTCGACATTTGAAGCTTATTGCATATTGCATATTAGCTTATTGCGTGCTCTCAACTTAGTGTTCTAGATGCACTTCCACAGTTATTAATTGAGAGCTCCATTTAATTCTCGGGACATCTCTGATCTATTGATTGAATTAAAAAAAAGTCTTAATATGTTTTTTTTTTAAGATTTCGTGCGTTTTGTGAACGCATATTCATTATTTTGCATAAGAAAACGGGAACGGGGTGTTTCTGTGGTGATAAAAAGGATTTTCCTACACAGATTACAGTTTTCTGTACCAAGCACTGAAATTATCAGACGGTACCTCTATTTATGCTTTTAGATTAGCTATGAAAGTCCCTCCTACTTGGAAAATTATGCTATAGAACGGTTTATACAACCCCAGTTTTTTTTTGCATAATTCTTCAGCTAGGAGGGACTTGCAATGCAAATCTCTTAGCATAAATAGAGGTACCGTCGAGTTTTTTTTTTCAGTGATGTCTATACATTACCTCCCGTCCTACCTGAGCTTTCATGTTGCCGATGACGATTTTGATGTCCCGTTGCGAACAGCCGTCGTACACCTGCTCCAGCTGCGCATAGAACGCTCCTTTCTCGTCGTCGGGTCTCCCTTCGTGTGGGCAGTGAAGAAACGGCCCTTAAACCTCAACTTGCACATCCTCGCGTTGATCGGCTGCCAACCAATCATGCGCCTCTTACCCAGCACTACAAAGCCGGTTCCCGGCTCGTTGGTGGTTCCACAGCTCTGGTAGAAAGTAGTCGCTCGATGCCCACTTTTCCATACCTTTTGTACCGTCCAGCAAAGTTCCTGCAGTGCTACTACTTCGAAGTTGCGTGGTTGAAGTTCTTCATAGATTAACCTTTCGCAACCCGGGAAGCTGAGCGATTTGCAGTTCCATGTTTCGAGTTTCCAATCGTAGTCCTTATTTCGTCACGTAGGTCTGTGCCGATTGTTCCGATCCGTATTTCTTCTCTGTTTAGAGTCCTACGCTGGCACTAGGACGGTGATCAGCCGCTCCTAACATGGAGAACTGACGCCGTTTTGAGCCGCACCTCCATGGAGAACAGACGCTCGGGTTTGGTGAAGCATTTTCTCTATCACCGTACTATGGTTACCGCGCCAGTGTTCGCGTCGCACCTCTTCACTTTGCTATTGCCGGACTGGCAACATTGCCCATACTACGCCATCCAGCTGTGTCCATGTTTCAGCTGGTAGACTTTTGTTATCATATGACTCGGGGAAACGTGAAGTAGGAACTTGTGAGGACCTGGACTAGATATTCCGTTCTTTCCAGGTTCTCAACTCACCATTTTGTAGCCCAAAACCCCCTGGGAATGTTTTATTTATTTATTGTATGTTATCAACAGGTTAGTTTGGTGTCACAATGATAAAAAGTTATCTTAAAACTAACAAAAATTGTCCTCTAAGAGTTTCTCGTGACATGTCATAATCAAAAAACTGAGGAGACTAGGTTGAACGTCCGTTGGGGGGTGATTAGCCTGAAATTCGCCGCATAGTTAGTTCTCCTGGGTGGGATCCTGAGAAGAGAGTTGCCTCGAAGCACACGATAGCGAGTTTGAACATTAGTGTTGCCAATCAGGGCAGGACAAACCATACGGTCAGTTTAATATTAGCGATGACAAGTGCCTTAACCACCATAACTTCGTCCACTTGAGAGATAGAAAATTGACGTCTTCGACAAAGTTTCTTAAAGTGACTTTATCTAAAATGTTTTAATAGATGTTCATCAACTTCAACAAGACATAAAAAAGTTATATTTTTTATCTTAGTGTATACCCCTCTTAATAAAAATTTTTCAGCTCTTAATTAAAGTACTCCATAGATGCAGCCACATTTTCAAGACATCAAAATGGTACACTCAATAGTTTCGTCGCAAATAGCCATGTCCCACTATTTTTGATTCCATCCCACTGTGTGTCGTGTTTGGAAGGTGTCCAGCTGGAGCATGAGGCATCGGCTCTCGTAGCTCGGTAGATTAAAGGGATCCCTCCAAGGCAATTTTCGGAGAGCGTATCTGATAAAACACCGCTGTACCGACTCGATTCGTTCAACCCCATTTTGGAAATGAGGGTTCCAGACTGGAGAAGCATATTCCAATGTCGTTCGTACCAGGGAGCAATATAGTAATTTCAAGTAGTATACATCTTAGAACTCTTTTGCTACACGAAAAATGAAGCCAAGGTTTCGTGAGGCTTTCGTGACTACATACGCAAAATGCGGTTTGAACGTGAGTTTTTCGTCAAGAATCACTCCTAAATCCTTAACCTGGTTTTCCCTCTGCATTAAAGGGTGATACGGTCAAAATTTGGTCAATATCAACTTGACGTATTTCTTTCAATTTTGCATTTAAAAAACCTGAACACCCCTCATTTTGAAGGTGTGTATGTGTGTAGAATGTTGCTCCTATTTTGATTTTGGAATTCACTCTTCAGTTGTCAAAATGCCGTCCAAGCAAGAAGAGCAGCGTATCAAAATTTTGCTCGCGCATCGCGAAAATCCGAGCTACTCGCACGCAAAGTTGGCAAAATCGCTAAAAGTTGCCAAATCAACCGTTACAAATGTAATTAAAGTGTTTGGGGAACGTTTGTCGACAGCCAGGAAGTCTGGATCGGGGGGAAATCGAAAACCGGAAGCCGCTGAGACGACAAAGAGAGTTGCCGGTAGTTTCAAGCGAAACCCTAACCTCTCTTTCCGAGATGCCGCAAATAAGCTGGGTGTATCGTCTACAACCGTGCATCGAGCCAAAAAACGAGCCGGACTATCGACTTACAAGAAGGTAGTGACTCCAAATCGCGATGATAAACAAAATACGACGGCCAAAGCGCGATCCCGGTGGCTGTACACGACGATGCTGACGAAGTTTGACTGCGTGGTAATGGACGACGAAACCTACGTCAAAGCCGACTACAAGCAGCTTCCGGGACAGGAGTTTTATACGGCAAAAGGAAGGGGAAAGGTAGCAGATGTTTTCAAGCACATGAAACTGTCAAAGTTTGCAAAGAAATATCTGGTTTGGCAAGCCATTTGTACCTGTGGCTTGAAAAGCAGCATTTTCATAGCTTCCGGGACTGTCAACAAAGAAATTTACGTGAAAGAGTGTTTGAATAAACGTCTGCTGCCTTTCCTGAAGAAACAGGGTTGTTCCGTACTGTTTTGGCCGGATTTGGCATCTTGCCATTACGGTAAAAAGGCCATGGAGTGGTACGCCGCCAACAACGTGCAGGTGGTTCCCAAGGACAAGAACCCTCCCAACACGCCAGAGCTCCGCCCAATTGAGAAATACTGGGCTATTGTCAAGCGGAACCTTGAAGAAGACCAAAAAAACTGCTAAGGGCGAGCAGCAGTTCAAGGCAAACTGGCTTTCTGCGGCGAAGAAGGTGGACAAGGTGGCTGTACAAAATCTGATGGCAGGGGTCAAGCGTAAGGCCCGGTTTTCGGATTTGGAAAAGCGGAAGCCCAACTGAATATTTTTCCTGAATTTTATACTAATTGAACTTGAAAAAGAAATTTAATTTGATTTTAAAAAAAAACGATT